TGTACTTGGTTGTCGTCCCCTGGGCGGAAATTTTGGTGGCTTTTCAGACGAGTGCGCTTTCATAGACGTCTGACGTTCAACACGTGCCAAATGTCCGCGAGCATGTTTCAGGATGTCCGGTGAAGCGTCCTCAACAGATAAATCCTTAGCCATATCCTCCATTTTCTTTTCGACCGCGTCCATATGTTCGTAGACGTCCAAATCATCGAAAGCTTCGAGATTTGTGCGGCTCAATTGTTTGTCTAGGGTTTTGACAACTTTTTGGTAGGTTTCATCACCCCGTAGAAATCCCTCAGCCACTGTTATCCTGATGTCCAATGTCGTTGGAACATTTAGGCATAACTTAAAATGAAAAAATGATAAAATGTGGTTGAATATATATATATATATATATATATATATATATATAAAATAAGTGCAACGACTCAACAAATTCCACTAGGCATCTTTATTACTATTAGTTTCGTACCACAAGATGTGGCACTCATCAGATAAATTAGCCTAATAAATAAATAAAGGCTAAAAAATAAAGGCTAAAAAATAAAGGCTAATAAATAAGGCTAATAAATAAATAAATCGGCTAATAAATAATAGGCTAATAAATTAGGCTAATTTATCTGATGAGTGCCACATCTTGTGGTACGAAACTAATAGTAATAAAGATGCCTAATTCTATATATATATATATATATATATATATATATATATATATATATATATATATATATATATATATATATATATATATATATATATATATATGTATATATATATATATATATATATATATGTATGTATTATATATATATATATATATATATATATATATATGTATGTATATATATTGTGATGTCGAGTGTTGTTGGAACATTCAGGCATACCTTAAAATGGTAGAATGATTGAAATTTGGTAAACAAATCGGTGTCCGAAACAATACAGTGTATGTTTCAGATTTTTACACAGCTAATTATCAGTGGGCATAAAAAATTTAATCAGACTCTCTGAGATGAATTTTGACACTAAAATTATTAAAACTGGCCTAGCAGAACCAATGTTATGGTTGTTTTGAAATAAAGTCTAGTTCACCCAATGGACCATTGAACTCATGCATGATCAGCTGTGTAAAGTATCAATAGGTTTCATGACCCCTTACTTTAAACAGCCATAGCATTGGTTCTATTAAACCAATTTTAGTAAACTTGGTGTCAAAATTCATGATATTACAATCGAGCTAGTCGATGTAAATAAAGTAAGTTTAGTTTTGGTTTACATTATTACATTATTGTTATATAGCTAGGGTGAACACCAAATGTGATTGGCTGATTTGTGGTCACGTGAATTTAGATAAATGGAATGTATCCCGCCGGGCAACAAGTGAAAAATTAAAATAGTTTTTACGTGGTGTTTCCACAAACAAAACTATTATATTTTTCGCCATGCAAACATACAAAGAACTTAAGTGAAAAATTGTTGCCCTCCACGACCGGCTACGTACGATTTTCCAAGTTTGTGTTAAAATAAAGAATGTCAAAGAGAAGAAAAATACACAACAGGCAACACGATATGCTGCTGAAACTGTTTAAGGAGGCTCCCTACAGTTTCCAGTACTGTATATCAGTGTTTTAAACTAAAAGCTATTTGAATCTAAAAAACTAATTTTTTGCTTACGGAAAGGCTGAAATTCAGTTTCTCGAAAACTACACTTGGCGATTTTCAAATAACTCAAAAAAGATTTAAAACTTCATAACAATGTTTTCTGTGAAGGAACTAGACTAAATTCTGAAATATCGCATACTCGAACCGGCGACCTGGCCGCGTAGCTCAGTTGGCAGAGCATTGGGCTAGTATTCCAAAGGTCGTAGCTCGTGGCAGGCCCGAAAAACACTGCCTGACCACGGTGGGACTCGAACCTACGACCTTCGGAATACCAGCCCAACGCTCTGAATAGTTTTGAAATGTATGTCAACATGTTTGTGTGATGTTACTCTGAGTGTATATCCACACCAGGCAGGCTTGAAAAATATGCCTGGCCACGGCGGGATTCGAACCTACGACCTTTGGAATACTGGCCCAATGCTCTTCCAACTGAGCTACGCGGTCAGGACGGTTCGAGTAAGCGATATTTCGGAACTGAGTCTAGTTCCTTCGATATCAGTGTAATCTAATATTTATGAAATCTGCTGTGTTGGTGTAATGTACTCAGGTGAATAAGATGTTTGTGTGATGTTATTCTGAGTGTATATCCACACCGGGCAGGCTTGAAAAATATGCCTGGCCACGGCGGGGTTCGAACATACGAGTCTTCTCATTTCATGGGAATATCCTGAGTCTGCAATCATGGCTTTAATTTTTGAATTGCAGAATAATTAGATGCACTATCAAGTGTATATATAAGATGTCTATGCTCACTCCCCAATGAGGCTTTTGAGTGACCGATTACATCAAGTGTTACGCTTACTTATGTTACCTACACGGCAAAAAACGCTCAGGTTGATGCAATACTGATAAAAACAGGATTCAACAATGTTTTGTTGCCAGCATTGTTCATAGCTGTCAACAATACTGAACAACATTGTTACACCCGATTCAGGCTCAACAACATTATTCAATATTGTTGACAAGTGTGAACAACATTGGCAGCAAAACATTGTTCAGTCCTGTTGAGCAACGGACTCGGCGTTTTTTGCCGTTGTACAAAATACTACATATGCACCTACCTTCTCTTCAAAGTCGGAACACGTAGTCGTAACAATTACGTCGCTTTCTTGTATTTCTTCAATGGCTGTCATCTGACCCAAATCTGACAAATATGTCGAAGGCTGTCTCTTTCCAGGTACTGAACGCAATTTCTTTTCTGCTTTTTTATCTAAAAAGCGAACCTTAGCCGGGAGTCCGAATTTGTTCTGAATCTCGGCCAAGTTGTAGGTATTTGAGTCCAACAATGGCACAAATACGGCAGTGGAATCAATTAAAATCGACACATCTTGTGCAGTCGTGAGGTTTTTACATCGTATCACCGAGTTTTTGCTGTCATTTTTTTTAATCTGTAGGATATCGTTGGTTTTTAAAGTCTCTAACGAATTATTATTGCAAGTTGAGCCAGCTTCCATGACTCGAACGTATTTGATTTGCTGGCATGTTGTAGACAATTGATAGGCAGTCACTATCGTGTCCCTACAGTCCATAGGTATCACCTCAGCTTTAAGTGGACAGCTTGTAGGAACCACCACTGCATTACTATGAGGAACCTGGCATACTATTTTACTGGTTGTATGCAAACTATGTAGAGTCAGAATTAGACCACTACTGAAAGTGGTCCGTTCATTAACACCACAATAACCGTCTACGACTAACACAACTTGCGGTAGCTCGTACCGTTTGACGAAGTCGGCTAAGCTAAACTCTTGGTCACTCCAAACAAGTGATTTGGCAAGCCTGTACTCTTGAGATACTGACATCTTGCTATATCTTTTAACTTTAATACAGCGGATTTAAACCGCATGCACACCGAGTTAAAAATTCGCCAGATCAAACAAATAGCACAGAATAATCAAGAAAGATTCCTGTGTTGTTGTGAAATTATTCAATTACATGCAACGAAGCCATGCTGTGCAATTTCCAATAAACCCTTGTCAAAAAATATTTTTCCAAATTTAGTGTGAAATTATTCAACTCGGTGCTTCCATGAGAGTGTGATCGCCGATGGGTGAAAGTGTGATCGATGATCGGTAATCTTCACTTTACGATGATTCTATTTCGAAATGATATGATTTATCAGTTTACACATGTGACGTACATAAGTTGTACAGGCTATTGTAACCTGAGTATCAGGCCGTACTTTTTAGGGCACAGGCACGCCTGATCGTGGGCGAAGGGGAGAAAATAGAGCCTGATACTCAGGTTAAGGCTATTGTAGTTTGCACTGTCGGGATTTCTTTGATCGAAGACAAACTGTGTGACTGTGACAGTATACAAATAATGAATGTTTGTGACTGCATTGGTAAAATTTTTCATGAGGTATCAGGTGAAAGCTGGAATTCCCCATTCACAAGGAGACATGGCGCCAAGTGGAATGGAAAATTCGTCTTTCACCGAATGAAAATATTTTACTATGGCACGAATGAAAATATTCATTTCTTTTATACAACACGATTAACACCAAAAATAAATCAATAAATCAAGCTATATTGCATTACTTCAGGCTCTCCTCAAAAGTAGTGGCAAGTCAAGTGTTAGCTATTTAATGCTAAAAATATTAAATGGCAATGAGTACAAGCAAAATGAAACACTGATTGTCCAAGAACTCCAAGATAAAATTCATATTTTCAAACACTAAGCTCTCGGACGCCAACCGCCGATAAAGTCCAACAATTTCTTACAATGGAATTGTTTCACGCCCAACGACTCTAACGATTCTTGGTCCATGCTGACCAACATCGTTCCATCAATCAATTCATTTTCAAATGTCTGCACGTAGTCACTCAAATTTAAATACCCAAGCAGTCTACGAACGTCTGCGACACCTAGGCCTGATAGGTCTTGAGGAAATCGAGAAATTGCTTCATAGATTGCTTGCTTGTCTTCTTGAGTTTGGGATGGTGGCTTGATTGGTAATGGTGGTCTGTGGTGTTGTTGGTAGGGGAATGCTCTGTATTGATGATAGGGTGGTAGTCTGTGTGTAGAAATAATATTATTCAGTAAGTATAGAGATTTCTGTCTAGACTGCAGAGATTAGGTGAAGCCAATGGTGGTGTGACCACCACAAATCTGCTGTGGTGTTGGCATGTCAGAAGAGGTTCTTAAGGTTTTTGGTCATTGGTAGGAAAAAAATATTGCCAAGAGAGAAATTGGTTATTATAGTCCAGTCAAATCACTATAAGTACATGGTCCTGATCAAAGTAATTGCAATAGATTTGTTTTCAGTGGTAAAGTGTGAGAAAAGTTGTTCTGATTAACATAGATCAGTAGAATTTTTTTCAGTGGTAAAATGTGAGGGAAGGTGTCCTGATTAACATACTAAAAATAAAAAAAAATCCCTTCGGTGGAACATGGTGAAAATCGAGTTTTTCTTACTTCTACCTATAGAAAACCATTGTGGACAGAATGGTGAAATTTTAAAATCATTTTTAGGCAAATGTAACCTACATTATTGGAAAGCTTAGAAAAAACTAAAATATAAATCATTAAACGGTTATCTTGCTTTTGCCTATCCAACCGAAGTTATACAAGTTTTAAAATGCCATAAATTTGTATTTTGTGCAAATTTTGCACTATTTTCCAACAGTTTGAGCTAGAATAACGACAAGCTGACCAGTAAATTGAATATAACCGTTTAATTAATGATCTATATGTTAGTTTTTACTAAGCTTTCCAATAATGTAGGTTACATTTGCCTAAAAATGATTTCAAAATTTCAACATTCTGTCCACAATATGGTTTTCTATAGGTAGAAGTAAGAAAAACTCGATTTTCACCATGTTCCACCGATGGGATTTTTTTTTATTTTTAGTATGTTAATCAGGACACCTTCCCTTACATTTTACCACTGAAAAAAATTCTATTGCAATTTCTTTGAAACATGCGAAGGTAAACATTTCCAATGTAACTTACGTAAACATGTAACTTACCAATAATCTATTGTAGTTGTAAAGCGATTGTATGTAATAAAGTATTGGGTTGTAATGGGTTTACAATTACAATAACCTTAATCCAAACCCCTTAAAGGTGATCTACAGTCCGATCTGCGCATGTGCACAAATGAGCCCACTTTTTATGATACAAACAGTTTAACTATGTTTTGAGTTCTTGAAAAGCCTGATTGTTGTTTCTTGATCATTTATTATACTCTAGAAGGTTGAAAATATAAATAGTTGTCGAATAAAGCTCAATATTTTGGACACAAAAATGTAAACAAAGGCTTTGTTTACATACGGACTGTAGATCACCTTTAACCCCTAACCCTAATCTAATTAATGACCTTTTTAGTGACGTACCGTATCCCGAGCCATTCAGCGACGAGCTTATATAATTGAGCCAATTTTAGCCAATCAGCTATTAGTTTACATCAATTGTTTACGTCGTGCCCGCATCTAACCTGCGAACGGGCATCGTTTGGCCTCGTGTAATTCGTGTTATTATACATTTAATATGTATTCTCGTTTCTAATTGGTCAGAAAGCACCGGCTAATTTTCAGTATTCGGCATTTTAATATTACGTATTTTCCGCCGATGACGTCATCAGCGATCCAAAAAAAATTATTGGACTCTCTCGTGCCCAAACCCTTGCGCGGCCCAAAAGCTTGAACCCATAAGCGCGCGAAAAAAACCAAACAAACAATGAAACAATGGCTTACAGCAGATTTGCTTCGCTGAATGAAAGTGAACTCTCCAAATTATTGGCAGATAAGGATAGTGAAAGCACGAAAAAAGCCACAAAGGGGTAAATAGAAGTAGAAATATAATATTTAGCTGACCTTTGACTTTGTGCAAGGTGTTTGATATTCAAATTGTACTTTTCCTACCTCATGAACAGGAATAGTTTTATACGTTTCTCATGTCTTTATTGTATAATAAAACAATTATTGGATTCGGCTTTCGCATGATATCAAGAATTATTCAGACCTCGGTCTATGTTATCCACCTCAGCTTCGCTTCGGCAGATAACATTGACCTCCGTCTGAATAATTCTTGATATCATGGTCAGCTTCATCCAATAATGGGTAGCCTGCGAACAGGCTCTCAAGCTGAATTGAGAGCCTGCATCGATGACTAATGAATTTGAATATCTGCCCCGTAACGTTCGTTTTTCCAAATATGGAATGTCTATCCTTATATGGTGTTGTTTACAACTTTCGTGCAAACTAAATTTAGACCGTGCAAACTAAATTTAGACCGTACAGTTTATACTGTTTTTCGAAATATAAGATATTCAAGCAAAAGTTTAAATGTTTTAAATACTGTTTCTCAAAACAGAACATTTCGTGCTTTGAGATAAGATGGCCAAGACCAATTTGATCAGTTAATGTGTTTTTTATGCATAGTGTTCAACTGCTAGTTGACATATATAGAGCTCAGCGGAATAATATAAATTATAGCATCTGACCAATGAGAATTTCGCGTCACGATTTGAGACGCAGATATTCAAATTCATTAGTCATCGATGCAGGCTCTCAATTCAGCTTGAGAGCCTGTTCGCAGGCTAAGTTTTAGATAGATAGATATTTATTTGCCCACAAAACGATCTCTCTCTCTCTCTCTCTCTCTCTCTCTCTCTCTCTCTGTATATATATATATATATATATATATATATATATATATATATATATATATATATATATATATATATATATATATATCTATATATATATATCTATATATATATATCTATATATCTATATATATATCTATATCTATATATATATATATCTATATATATATCTATATCTATATCTATATCTATATATATCTATATCGGTAAGGAGACTGGCGCGAGTTTCATATGCCGTTCCAAACGTGACAAAATATCAAGTCTACATATTTTCATCAAGTTGTTTGTTGAATACATCAAGTTGTTTGTTGAATACATCAAGTTGTTTGTTAAATACATCAAGTTGCTTTGTTGAATACATCAAGTTGCTTTGTTGAATACATATGCCGTTCCAAACGCGACAAAATATCAAGTATTCAAGTTTACATATTTACATCAAGTTTTGTTTGTTGAATACATCAAGTTGCGTGTGTCTTACATCAAGTATATCAGAGTAAAATAATTCAAGTTGACGTTGTTGATATTTATACATCAAGTAGGGAGAGGACCGATTTTCAAGAAGGGAGAGGACCGCCTGTGTTTATACAAAAAGTATAATAATAGTGGGTTTTAATATGTGTACTCGAATACTCGATCAAGTATTTGACAATGTACACGCGTAAAAATTGATCAGGTTGTTGCAACATTGTTCGCTGAACAACGTTGCAACAATGAGGTTATCATGGCTGAACAACGTTGTTCAAGCGACAATCGTTAACAACATTGTTCCAACAACTTGTTCACGCTTGATGAACGAACAATGGTTGTTGCAACATGATGGAACAAGCGTCCGACAAGGTTGATGAAACATGCTTGATAAATGTTGTGAGAACAATGTTGTTCAGCGTTGTTCATTCATCAGGCGTCAACAATATTGTTCGAACAAGCGTGAACAACATTGATGAAAGAACAAGTTGTTTTTAGTTGTTCGAACAACCGTGAACAGCATTGTTATAAATAGACGGTAAAATAATGATTTGAACAACACGAAAACGTGTTTTTATTGGTTGTTGCGAACCGCTGGGATGCAAAACGGACGAATGCCACGAATATCACGAGAGCAAGAAATCAAACGGGCTTTTACAGCAAAATAAATGTCGTTTAAAACTTTGTGGTTTTTTCTGAAGATTGAGGGGAAAATACTGAAGAAAATAACTTGGTAAGTGTCTTGTTTTGAGTTAAGGTTAGTTGTAAAAGCTTAAAACAACCCGACCTTTTGATTTTAGTCATTTTCATAGTGCACGACGAAGAAATGCACACGCACATTTAAACTTTATAGTACTTTTATATGGGCATTGCATTTTGATATTTTTCTCTATATTTTCAGTATATATGA